AGCTTCAGTATGTATTAAAAACAACACAGTATAAAAATCCTAACAAATTAAACATGTATTATTAAAAATAGTTTAAACAAGAGTAAGATGTATAAAAGCACAGTTTAAGCAGTATGAATGTACAGACCATTTCTAGAGAATTCATGACAGCCTTTTAAGAGCTGAGAATGGTAAAACACAGCCAATAGCTAGTGATCTAATCAATGCTTAAAGAAATATCTGGTTCAAGGGCCATGTTGCTATTTAAACAAAGAAAAACTGTAGTTCTGTGGCCAAATGTTTTGTAAGAACAATGAAATTTATTGGTCTTTGTGGAAATTAATGTTCTGAACGTTAAAAAACTGATGTGCCTGAATCTAAACATTCCATTTAGTTTATAATGTTGTAAGTTGTTTCCATTTTAGATTGCCTCTCAGTTTCATGATCTGTTTCACAACTGTATGACTAACTTTCTCTAGACTGTCAGTTTCAGTTTCAACCTACGATGAAGTTTTTTTGTTTTGTTTTGTTTTTAATTTTTGAGGTATGGAAAGAAAATTGGGGAAAATATATTTAAAATAAAATATGGCTCTATCAGTATAGCACTTATTCTTGGAAACAAGCTAAGCCTGAATTTAGAAAAATGTTTATATTAGAATGATAGCTTCCTAGAATAAGAGTTTGTACATTGAAATGTACTTAATATAATGTTATAAAAAGTTAATATACTGATATAAAGCAATAACATCAAAGTCAATGAAAGATAAGCATGACTGTCATGAATGCATCCCATTCTATCAAAGCAGTTACCATCCTTTTGTTTATAAGAGAAAATGTTGTGCTGCCATAATACAAGATAATAAATAGGAAAATTAATCTTACAATTCCTGCAGAGGCAGCAGAGTTACAAGCATGAATTGGACCCCACTCCTTCCTATATAGGATTATTCATTTAAAAAAAAAGGCAACAGTTATTTACAGGAGAGCTCTCCAACTAGTAGCCTGTGAAGGTTTAACTCGCATCCCCCAGGCTCCTGTTCCAGGCTCTGGTTCTCACATCGGTCTCGTGCTGCTACTGCAAGCTGTAGTCTCTGAGCTTCTTCCCCCTCCACCTCCAGCTTTTGCTTCCTACCCACCGCAAAGGGCCCTGGGACCCCATGTGGCACAGCGAAGAGGCCTGGATGGTGTGAGAGGGTGATGCCCAGCATGCGACCCTCTGCCACTCAGATGTTGGACAGCCCTGGATTATAAAACTCCAACTTTAGGGCTGTGCCATCCTAGTAGATGTAAAAAGTGACATGGGTATTAGTGAGTATATAACATAGTATGCAGAATTTTTGTTGCTGATAATCGTATATAAAAAAGGAAAGAAGATTAGAGGTTTTCTGCTCAATTTAAGATAAATTGGAGTAAAGAACCTATTTTTGCTTGTAAAACAAGCACATTGATCTAGGAAGTTATTGATAGACTATATAAAGAATGACGCTATGATGCAGCACTTAAGAAGTCACCCATTTGGGAAAAATCATACTTTAAATTATATTGGTATATTTATATGTGAATGAATCAGATGATGTTGAGTTTTGTTGCTTGCTTTAATACTTGCCTTAAAATGTTCACATCTACCTATTACCTATTTTTTTATATGCACTCTGAAGCTGCAATTTTTTTAATAAAGAGAAGGCTCATTTGCTACCATTATTTTGAGCAGATTTTCATTGTTGGCAATATTTTGTTTCAGAAAATGCATGTTTTAATCAGAATACAAGATTAAAAGAGATTATCCATTGCTCCGTTGTTATTAATGCATTTTCTATCCCCTTTCCACCAGTATTTTAAATAAAGAAAAGACAGCTTTGCTGCGTGTCAAGAATCAGATGGCAGCAGATTTGGAAAGACTTCTAAATCATCGTGAGGTAAGAGTCCTGTTTTAGCAGAATCATTGCCATACATGTTTTTCTGTGCCTAATCCATAGGAAAATTATGGTTCATCTCTCCATAAATTTTAGAAATGCATTGTTTGGCACTTAGAAAAGAGAGCTTTAGACTGTGCTCTATACTGCCAGTTTACTCACTGTGGGCGTGTCCAGATGAGCACGCACATGCCTCTTGCCCCATCTCAAACCCCTTTGAGGAGGGGCAAGAGGCGTATGCGGAAATGAAAAAATGTTCCCCGCACTGCAAGTTCGCAGCGCGGGGAGAAAATCAGACCCCTGGATATCCAGGGGTCTAAAAAAACCACTCCACAGAAGAGCGGAGCAAGGCACAGTCCCAGACTGTGCCAGGGAGTCAGTCCTCCAAAAGAGACGCGTCTCTTTCGTTCTCCTGCTGCCTCGACCAACGACGCTGTCCAAGATAAGTGCGGGGGGCAGTTCACGAGTGTCGCTAGGTGAGGGGTGGCAGGGGGATGTGCGGAGGGTTTGGGGAGTGGCAGTGGGGATGTCCCCAGGGCTGCGGGGAGTATGGACACAGCCCAGCCCCATACAGCTCGCTAGTCCGGCTTTGCACCGGAGCGGGTTGCATGGCTCCGGGAGACACGCACAGGACCCATGCCTCCCACAGCTGTGTGACCCGCTCTAGTGCAAAGCTGGCCTAGCAAGCCACACGGGACTGGCCCAGGTCCCGCCACACCCCCCCACACACACACCCCCGCAAGCACAGCATGGCAGAGGCAGGACCTGGTGCAGTGGGTCCTGCTAGCCCTAGGGCCCCTCTGCTGCCTGGCTGAGCTGGGCCCTTGGTGGCAGGGCCCAGCATGGCACATGGTCCCCACGTGCCGGGCCCAGCCAGGTCCTGCCGCCCTTGGGGCCCCCCTGTCACCTTGCTGGCAGGAGCAGCCCCAGGGCCAGTGGTCCTAGTGTGCCGCGCCGGGTCCTGCCACCATGGGAATGGCCCGGCCAGGCAGCAGAGGGGCCTCAAGGGCGGCAGGACCCACCTGGGCGTGGCACGTGGTCCCCACATGCCACACCGGGTCAGGGCATCTGGGCCCGGCACGTGGTCCTCACTTGCTGCACCGGGTCTTGCTGCCATGACCCAGCCTGGCCAGGCAGCAGAGAGGCCCCAGGACCCAACTGGATCCAGCATGCAGCCCCCGCGTCCTGCTCCGGGTCCTATCACCATGGTCCGGCCCTGCCGGCTAGCAGAGAAGCCCCAGGGCCGGCAGGACCCGTCCGGGCCCAGCTCATGGTTCCCGCATGCCATGCCAGGTCCTGCTGCCATGGCTCAGAGTGCCCCACTCCCGCTGCTGCTGCTAAAGGTAAGTTATGCGCCCTGGGCGGGGGGGGCTGTGGCCCTCCAGGGAGAGCTGGGACCCTGGGCAGGGGGACTGTAGCCCTCCAGGGTGCCTGGGACCCTGGGCAGGGGGGGCTGTGGCCCTCCAGGGTGCCTGGGACCCTGGGCAGGGGGGCTATGGCCCTTCAGGGGGAGCTGGGACCTGGCGCAGGGGGGCTGTGGCCCTCCAGGGTGCCTGGGACCTTGGGCAGGGGGGCTATGGCCCTCCAGGGAGAGCTGAGACCCTGGATGGGGTGGGGCTGTGGCCCTCCAAGGTGCCTGGGGCCCTTTGAGGGATAGGGGCTACGGCCCTCCAGGGGGGAGCTGTGGGCAGGGGCTGCACTCTGTGGGGGCCAGGGAACCCATCCCTCCTGAGCGACCCCGCCACAAGGTCCCCCACACCCACAGTCCCCCCAGCAATCGCCCCACACCTACCCACACACCAACCCACATCCCTCCACACACACCCACCCACCTTCCCCCACACCCCTTCCCACCCCCTTCCTGCAAACACCACATCCCTCCATCACACACCCATCATGTGGGAAGAAAACGAAAAGTACACATCTACACATATAGGTATTTAGAATTTATTTTATCATTATGATAGAGACACTGGTAGGCTTCCACATTGCTTTAACATTGTAAATATACCAATAAAGCATTGCCCAACTGATTGCGCTCTCTCTCTCTCTCTATATATATATATGTGTGTTTTTGTATGTTTGTATATAGATTGGTCTTTTGTGTTAATTGTGGAAAAACATGGATTTGGGGGTATTTTTAAAAATGGATTTGGGATGCTGCTGCAGCAGTCCAGCTGGCACAAGGGGTAGTGTCCCCAGGTACCAAGTGGCTGAGCCCCAGAAGCTCCAGAGAGCGAGTAGCCCTGAGCTGCTTGCCAAGGCAGCTTTTTGTACGGATGGGGCCAGGACAGGGCAGCTTTTTATACGGCTAGGGACAGCACAGGTGCTGGCCCCGGGCTATAGGTCCCCCTGGCTGCAGATACAGGAGCCAGGCAGGGGTATTTTGCCCCAAGTGGC